ACCTCTCGGGCCGTTTTGGTGCCATCTTGGACGGCCTCGTGGGCGATCTTGGGGCGATCTTTGGGGGTTTTTGGGGTCTCTCGGGCTGCTGGAATATCGAAAACAAGTACATGTCACCATCCTTCAAAACCTAAATGATTTGGCACCTTGGGGCCTTCCTGGAGGCCGTCTTGGGGGCCTCAGGGACCGTCTTGGGTTTTTTTGCCGTTTTGGGCCATCTTGGAGCCATCTTGGGCCGTTTGGGAGGCCTCCTGGCCCGTCGGACGCCGTCGGCAGCCGTCTTGAGGGCCCCTCTGGGCCGACTTGGGGCCCTCTTGGGGTGTCTTGGACGCCATGTTGGGCGTTTTGGAGGCCTCGTGGGCAGTCTTAGGAGCCACTTTGGCCGTGTTGGGGCCCTCTTGAAGGCCGCTTGGCGATATTGGGGCGACCTTTGGGGGCTTTTGGGTTGTCTCGGGCCGTCGAAAAGCTGAATAGAAGCAAATGCCCAAATTCTTCAAACATCCAAGAAGAAATCAATGATTTTGGCCTCTTCGGGCCTTCCTGGACGACCTTTTGGAGGCCTCTTGGGCCGTCTTTGCGACCTCTTGGGTGCCTCTTGGGCTGTCTTGGACCATCTTGGAGCCATCTTGGGCCGTCTTGGTGGTCTCCTGGCCCGTCTGACGCCGTCGGAAGCCGTCTTCAGGGCCTCTCTGGGCCGACTTGGGGCCTTCTTGGGGTGCTCCGTGGCCGTCTTGGAGGCCATCTTGGGCGTTTTGGAGGCCTCTTGGGTCGTCTCGGGGCCCTCTTGGGGCCGTCTTCGGGGCCTCTTGGGCTGTTCTGGGTCTATCTTGGAGGCCTCTTGGCCACTCTTGGGGCGATCTTTGGGGGCTTTTGGGTCGTCTCGGGCCGGCGGAGGATCGAAGAGAAGCAAATGCCAAATTCTTTCAAAATATTCGAGGGAAATCAATGGTGTTGGCCTCTTCGGGCCTTCCTGGAAGACCTCTTGGAGGCCTCTTGGGCCGTCTTGGAGGCCTCCTGGGGTCCTCTACGGCCGTCTTGGGCCATATTGAGGCTATCTTAGGCCGTTTTGGATGCATATTGGGCCGTCTTGGAGGCATCTTGGGGTTATCTTAGCCATCTTGGAGGCCATCTTGGCGGTCTTGAGAGCCATCTTGAGCCGTCTTGGGGAAACTTGTCCGAAAATTGTACGTACTCCTTTGCGCGGCCTTCCGGGTCGCCTGCGGGACGGGCCGAAACCCCAGGGAGAGATATTGGAAAAAGAACCAAGAGCGGTGGGATTTAGCGCGCCGGGCACCGCTGTGGCAAGACCACAGGGGGCGGCGGATCGAATGGCCTTCGGCCCAGCCCGACACCGTGTTTGGGTTGTAGGTATGAGGCCTCTTTGATGTTCGTCGGGATCTCGTCGAGGCCTCTCGGGGGCCTCCTGGAGGCAGTTTTGAGGCCTCTGGGTGATTGTGTTGATGCCTCTTGTTACCTCTCGGCCTTCTTGGGGGTCTCTTGCGGCCTCCTGTGCACCTCTTGGGGCGGAAGGCTTAGATTTTCGGTTCGTGTTCCCCCTCTTGGGCCCATCCCGGGGCCGTCTTGGGACCCTCTTGGGCCGCATTGGGCGCCCCTTTGGCTGTCTTGGGGCGTTCCTGTGCGGTCTTTGGGCCCTCTTTGGGGCCTTTGGAGATGTCTTGGAGCTATCGGGTTCACGAAGAATGGGGAATACACAAAACATGCAAACACCTCGGCCTCTTCGGCCCCTCTTGGGAATGTAATTGGGCTGTCTTTGGGGCGTCTCGAAGGCCTCTTGGGCCGTTTTGAAGCAATCGTGGGCGTCTTGGACCGATCGTGCGGCGATTCGGGGCCCTCTTGGACCGTCTTGGGGGCCTTTTGAGGGCACAATTTGGTCGCAAAGTGCGAGGGGTTATGGTTTTGGGAGCGCGAAATTGATGTTCCTTAAGACGGACTGTGGCTTCGGGAGCCCGAGTGTGGCGCAGCGTTCCAGGGACATGTTTTCAAAACCGTACAAGTTTGTCGTAGGTTGCATGGGACAAAGAGCTCAGGAGCGCGAGCGGCGAGTACTCTGCGGGGGATTGTGGTTTCGGAGACCCGAGTGCGGCGCGACCGGGATTACAGTGGAGGCCCGACCACAAGAAACACCTTGAACAAGAAACCCAACCCTGAGACCCTTGGACTTCCCTTGTTTTTTAGTGTGAGAACGTCACGCTCTCCATGGCAAAACCATCGAAGCCAAAAAACCCAGGGCACCCTGAAGGTAAGCAGGGGGTGCTTCTTGGCATGGGCCCCCACTGTACGGTTTCGAAAACGCAGGCATGTCGCATTTTACAGCGGGTTGGGGCCTCGGGAGCGCGAGCGCGCAGTAAACTACAAGGAAGCGTGGTCTCGGGGATGCGAAGTCGGTGTAAACTACCAGGGCTGTGGCGTCTGGGGCGCGAGTGTGTGGTGTGTATTCGGAGGTGTCCCAGGGCAAATTCTTGACGCGTCGCGTATCCCCACCAATGCTTTCTCTGGTTTGCGGCTTTCGGCTGCGCCCCCCCTCTTCCTTCACGACGACTGCAGTGGCGGGCACCTCGACCACCACCTGCGGGTGGGCCCAGGTAAGGCACACTCCTGCACAAGTGGTTCATCCTTTGGCAGGCTCAGCCATTCCACGACGGGCCCGTCCCGCTGCACGACGCCGTCGTCCTGGAGGCTGGCTTCCTGTACAAGTGGTGCATCCTTTGGCAGGGCCGTGCTTCCTCTTGGCAGGCGTTCTCCGTCTCCCGGCTATGCCAGCGACATCGGCCCCTTCCTCTGGTAGGATTTGTCGCTCGCAGACGCCAACGACGCCCTGCCCTTCTGCGATGGTCAGGTGGTGCACACCTGCCCGCAGTCCTCCCCAGGCGGGGCCACTGAATGCTGGTGGGTAGTGCTGCCGTGGTTCCACGCGACGTCCCCCCCGTCCATGGACGCATGGAAGTTGCCACTCGGGACTCACGCCAAGACTACCGTCGCCTGGTTCAGTGACGACCTCTCCTCGAGCACGTGGTGCTCCGTGAGTGAGGCTCCCTTTGCCCTCCTGTCCCTCTCCCGCCCCTCTCTTCTCCTCCTTTTTCCCCCCCAGTCGCCCTGCCCTTCGCCGTCCGGTTTGTCGGGTGCTGGCGCCACTGTGCGACGCCCCGCTGTCTGTCGTCGGCTGCCGCGCTAACGTGCGGCTCCACGAATTTGCTCGGCATGCTTGCGTGTGCGGTCGGCTGTCGACAGTGACGGCTGGGCTCGCTAATTATATGGTTCTGTGCCCCAGTCAGCCCGATTGGCCCGCCCTCTGGACTCTTCCTTGCGGGCCGCAGATAAAAAAATATCCCCACCAATTTTGCAGTTAAGGTGCAGACTCTGCGGCTGTTTCGACGTCAGTGCAATGGTCGCTGGCTCACGTCGGATCGCGCCCAGGAGTCCAAGTGAGTGAGGCTTACCTGGCCACCCCTCTTCTGCAAGCGCCTTCCAACCTCTCTCGCCTCGCAGTGGTGAGCGGTGCGGCCTCACGTGCCCACTGTCCTGCCACTTGGCTGCCCTGCCCCAGCCTGTGCCCTGTGGACTGGATGGTTTGAGCTGGCGCCGTTGTGCGACCCCTTTCCGTTTATTCCTGTCTGGTGCTGGTTTTCCCGTTCGCGGGTGGCTCGCAGCTTAATGAGGGGCATTTTGCCTCTTGCAGGTGCACCTGTTACGTTGGCCTAGGCGCCGTCGTAACCAATTATCTCGCCCTGTGCCCCAGACGCGCCCGCCCCGCTTCTTGGACTCTTCCTTGGAGTCGCCAATCAAAAAAAACATATCCCCACCAACCCATCCACAATCGATGCCCGGGCGAGTTGCCTTGATCAGGGAAGGGGTAAGGGGAGGGGTAACCCCTCCCCGAAGGGGGAAGAAGGGGGCTGGAAGAAGAGCCTCCCTAGACCACCTACGCCCAGAGGGCTGGTAGGATCCATGGCAACGTCATTCCGACGTGTTGATATGCAGGTGTTCGGGCCGGGATCCTTGCGCGGCATTCCATCACTCGAGCATTGGAGTTGGACGCCCAGGTCTCTCAGCCAGTTGGCCCCAGGGCTGGACCTAAACGCTGTGCTGCTGGACTTCAGCTGCGTTTTTCTTTAGTTTTGGGAGCGAGGTGCAGGGCAACAGGTAGAACAAAACGAACAACATAACGATACCAACACGAGTAACACCGTTTAGGTCCAGCCCTGGCTGGCCCCCCAAAGGGGGTTGGCCAGCGGACATCCGCTTCGGCTTCCACATCACACCCGGCATCGGATCACCGTGTCGCATGACTACGACCACCGTGTGAAGATTTTGCGCAGGATAACAAGTCTCACGCGATGGCGCTTACACGGCTGCGCATTCGGTGACCAGTATCGTAGATAGACATATGTGTTGTAACGGCCGTTGCAGCATCCGTGTAATTCGCAGTCACAATGCAATTTGACTACGCGGTCTTGCGTCTTACGTTGACTTTAGATTGCACTTGTATGCTGGTGTGTGGTTCGCTTGCGCTGCTCGGAAATCGTTCGTGGGCCAAGTTCGAGATGTGACTTTCGCCTGTTTGCGTTGAGCGTGCATCCGCTGCGATGTAAATACCTCGTGTATCCCATGTGTGTGGGCATGCCAAGGGTAAGTCAGTGCGGAGCCTACGTGGGCTAGGATCCCATTATCGCTATCATGGGAAAGTGTCCGTCCTGTTTCCGGATATTGAAGGGGCCAGTGCAGTAAGCTCGTAGTTACATTGTGAGACATGGACATGCGTGAAGGCTGATTGTGTTGAATTAAGCGACGAGGTTGTCGCAGAGCAAGTTTATGTCTAGGTCCACCCGACATGATCTCGTTTTGTCCACCACATTGGGTATCTTCATTTTCTCATTAGCCAATCATCATGCCGCGTCTACCCCGATGTTGTTCCATCATCCTCCGTCCTTGCATCATTCTCTCACAGCCTTGTTGAAAACATGATTCCAGTCATATGACAGGCTGCAAAATTGATGGTCCAGGCGCGCAAGCAGGTGGACGCTGCCCTCGCAAAGGACACTCGCATACACTCGCTTGTGACACAGAGTTGGAAACCTGTGCTTGTGTGTCATAACGGGCATGGCGAATAGACATTTGAATATGCGCGTCCTTCTCATATCATGCACGCCCCCTTTCTTCTTTTGCACTCACTCTCCCTCCCTGTTTCGTATTCGTCCCTCCCCGTTCCTCCTGTTCATCCTGCTCGTTCTCTGCGGTGCTCCCACTTGCAATGTGCATCGTTCTCATTATCTCCCCGTCCTTTGGATTAGAAGTACGGGCACACACCGTAGCTCCATGAGAATGCTATGCGGACTGGTAGCATAGTGCGCCCGATGGCCAATTTCCCAGCTTGGTGGAGAATATCTGCATGGGTTTGCAGCATCCGCTCGTCCACGTAACACACCTGGTTGTCGCTTCTGCGATTGATGTCGATTGAAGCGGCACCCTGGTTGGCAAATGTTCTCGCCGACCTGGTCCAGAGGAACACAGACGGTAAGCTCAGGCATTTGACGAGTTCGGTCAGCACAGCCGCCCAGGGTCTCCAAAGCTTGATGTCGGCAGACACGCCGCCCGCATGGACGGCGATTGACATGCGCACCGCATACCACGCCAGGATTTGTTGTAGAGGGCACAACGCAGAAGCTTGAGGGCTACCGACTGCCGCAAACAACGGGGCATTCCGCGGTGGTTGCCGCACATGACCACCCAATACAATACATCTCCGCGTGAGCCTGTGGGCAGCGCTGAGAAATTGGCATGTGGTTTCCCAAAGAAGCAACCCAGGGCAACCCTCCACTGTCAGCTTTCGATCGTCAGAAGCGCAAGGTAGCCAGACTAGTGCGAGATGGGCGCGCCCTAGTACCAAAGCTTACGCTGACCCTACGCCGTCCATCTCGGGCGCGCCAAGTACGCCAACACCCGTCACGAGAGTGTAAGTTTTTGCCCAACCGAGCCCAAGCAGGCATCGTTAGGCAAGGTACACACACACTGCGTGCTGGTCACGACGAGATGTTTTACACCAAGTGCGGCTACATGCTGGCTCATCGACATTGGAAGGCCCTGATCCTCAACCTTCGACCCTCGCTTCTCGACCCTCGATCCTTGACCCTCGATCCTCAGCCCTCGACCCTCTTCAGTGGAATGTGACCAGCGCACATCATAAGTAGAACGGGCACTGGGGGCTTGGGCTGCTGGAGCCCTGGCCCGCGACGGACATCAGGAGCTGTGCTGCACGCTTCGTGCTGATGAATTCGTCCAGCTTCCGTCCGGACCCAGGAGCCTTTACGAACGTTGAGGTGCTCATGGGTGTCGATTAGTACGGGTACAGGAGTGAGCAAGACCAATCTCATTCGGTCAGATCTCCACCGTTACGCCAGGGACGAACATAAAGCTGCCGTGCAAGACACCACGTCGGAGCCTTGTTCTGGCCCATTGCATGTTTGAGGCCAGTCTGTTGACACGCCAGTCTTTCAGCAGAAGGCCGACAGGGAAGTAGTTCAACGGCATCGGAGCATGTCAACCCTCACCACACTTCTCTGGTTAGCAGCTCCGACGTTCAAGACGACGAACGTCGCCCCACTCACGAGTTGTATGGAGTGGCGATTGCGTCACACGCGAATAAGCCAATCATATTAGCGAGGCCCGTCATATCATCAACACACTGACCATCGACGTACATCCGCAAGAGGTACATCGAACAGACGCAGAGCTGCAAACGCTTCGGGAAGAGTTGGCAATTACCTCACTCTAAAATGTATCGCAGTAGCCCGTGTGCAGGATGTCTCACCATGAGCATTGCTTTGTCTTCGCATGCCAGCTTCCAAGTGCTCGAGGACGTCGAGCTGATGGCAGTTCAGCTGAATGCTATCTTGTCGCTGGGCCTGCTCGCGCAATTGCAATGCGTTTTTTTTTATACGATCGCCCTAGCGAAATTTACTCGCGGAGCTCCCCAGGGCAGCCCCCACATACTTGTCTGCACCGCACGCCGATCACATCACCCTTCACTTGTAGATGGTGCTCTTGCCCAGGCGGAGGTATCTTTCCTGCCACCCTTCCTCGTCCTCGTGGCGAGTGAGTATGATTCATCCTCTGCCGCAGCTGAGGAGAAGATGTACATGCACCACCGCTCCTCGGTGGAGCACGAGACCCAGGTGAAGCTTGACGCGGAGGCGCTGTCGCTGCTCGCGGCGCAGTGTGGCCCCCCTGGGACCTCCAGCGACTCGGAGGTTCTGGCGTGATTCGGCATCGAGGGGCCGCTCTCGGGCCCTGGGGCCGTCGGAATGGCTGCTTGAGATGTGAGGCTGTCCTGGGGAGAGGGCTGGACAGATCCAGGGGCTAGCGGCTCGGAGAGTCATCGGAGGACCTCTCGTGGCGGCGCAATTCGAGCGGTTTTTTATCCCGCTCACGTGTTCCTCGGCGTCGGGAGGGTTAGATATGCCGCTCTACGAATGGAGGCGGCGGCAAAATCCGAAGCCTACTCTCGCCGATACACGATTCGGGCAACTCGATGGGCGGCGTGGGTGGGGTTCTGAATTCGGCGAATGCGTGGTGAAATTTGAACCCTACCCCCGCTCCCCATCGATTCAGGAGAATCGATGGTCGGTGGGGGTAGTGTTCGGATGTCGCCACCAATTCAGGTGACTCCACGGACGAGAAGGCGGAGGACAGCTGAATAACACCGCACGGTTTTGTCATTACATAGTCTTCTTAGTCCCGCCTTCTCCATCATCGCACCCCTGTCTTCTTCCCCGATCCTCGTCATGGACCTCACTTGAAGTTCGGCAGCCCCGAGATTCAGCACACACACACACACGGAAAACTCTCGATGTCCGATTTTACATTTATTGGGCGATGTGCCATCTCCAGAAAACGCACGGGTTGAAGGTTGAGGTCATTTTCCCAATTATCGGCGGCGAGCGAGGGGGAGGGAAGTGAGAAGGGGCGAATTTTCTCAGAAGTCTCCGGGCCCTCTGAAAAGTTTTCGAAGCCTTCCCCGAAGACACAGAAAGCCATTCAGAAGGCTGGAGGGCTTCTGAGAAGCCCCGCCGCCTGCTGAGAGGGCCCATTCCTTCTCACTTCCCCCCCCGTCGCTCGCCGCCGAGATTAGGCTTTGCCGAAGGCTTTCTTCCACGTGTTGAAAAACTGGTGTGTGCTGGGCCTGCGCCCTGGCTGGCCTTCCCCGGGATTTTCGGTCCCGGTTGTTGGTTCTTCGGTCTTGGTTCATTTGTTGCCCAGGTGTTGCCAGTTGTCACCATATCCTTCTGCTGGGGCGCTGGGCGACCTGGGGGACTGGCTTCAAGGGAACCTTGCAAAGGCCGAAGCGGCGAAGAGCACCGCGATGGTGGAGGGCAACAGCGAGAAGGAAGCAGAGGATGTCGTGTCGGCCGCGAAGCGCTCCGCGGCCGAAAAGGCTGCGTCTGTCCGATCACGTGCTCCACCATGCCATGGACTCGCGGTTTGGGCATCAGGGTACCCCTGCTTTCCTCTTGGCGCGACTCCCCCATGAGAGGGGCAGCGCGCGGGAGAAGGACTACGGGGATTCCGGATGGCCCCCGTACGAGCGTTGCTCGGCCGAGCAGATCGAGAGGCTCTGCCGTAGTGGCATGAGATGAGGCGAAGTGGCCGGCGCTGAGGGACATCGGCAGTGATGGCAACAAGAAGAGTGCGGCGGGGAGGTCTGGGCCTGGCTCGATCAGAAAATCGCGTCTGCTTCTTTTCTTGTGCAGACGCCGAGGCCGTCAAGGCGCTCTTCGGGAACGCGGAGCAGGGCCCAGAGCTGGGCGGCGTAGAGACGCCACACCTCCGACGGGATGCCCCCGCGGAGCGGCGAGGGCGCGGGCGGCCTCGCCAAGTGCTCGCGCCTCTGCGCCGTCCTGCGCACCCTGCAGCTGGCCCGCGTCGGCCCTCTCCCACGACGGCGCCTCCGGTCGCAGCGCCGCGACGCTTTCCTGCGGCGCCGCGCCGCCCGCGCTGCCCGCGGACGGAGACGCTCGAGCTCCTCGGCTCAGCATCGTTTAACCGATCCCCATCCCCATCCCCATCCAGACCCCCACCATCTCATCCCCCCAGTTGGGGATATACCCTTCGAAGTCTGTCATGAGCTGCCTGCATCCCTATCTAGGGGGGTAAACCGGCCAGTGGGGCCCAGGCCACGCGAGTGGGGATGGGGATCGGTTACACGATGCTCATCGGCAGCAGCGCCCTCGGCAGCGCGCCAGGGGAGGGCCCCTGGCCGCGGGGCCCTCCTCCGGCGGGTTGGGCGAGCTGTGGGAGGCCCCCGCAGCTCGCGGGGGCCAGGGATCGCCCGTGGCCGCTGGCCGCGGCGCTGCCCGCGCTGCCGCGGCTGGAGGTGCTCGGGCTCGCCGGCAGCGCTCTCGGGCAGGAGGGCGCCGACTAGACGTAAGAGTGCCCTTTCGCCGGAGTCCCCCGGACTTGGTGCGGGCCAAATGGGGTCCCCCGATCGCCGAACGCGATGCGGTGGTAGCGTCTTGCGCGCTTGTGTTTGGTCCCTCCGCGGCCCCAAGAGAGCCGCGCACCAAAGGTCACTCTTACCCAGGGTCACTTGCGTGTAGCCGAGGGCGGACGGGCGCGGGCCGCCTTGGGATGGCCGCCCGTGACTCCGTGAGCGGGGGGCGGGCGGGTCGCCTTAAGTCGGGCCTATCCCTCTACAAGAGGGACATCCAAAAATAGTCAATTATAGTCTCGGGACGATGTTGCTCTTATTCTTCTATTTTGTTGCATTTTTCGGCCGAATCTGCCTGTAAGGGGACATGCCCGACCTCAGGACGGCCCGCGCGCCGAGGAGTGGGCGGAGAGAGCGGGGGGCGCCCAGGGCTGGGCGCCCCTCGATGCTCCCCTGGGCGTGTGTTACAGTCAGCCCGCACAGTAGGGATGGGCACCCTCCCAAAAGGGTACCCTTGCATCCTTGCCCCTTCGGCCCACCCTTAGCGACTCTCGCTGGCCAACCTCGTTCGAAGAACGCTAACGTGGCCTTCCAAGGCCCTCGCATCCTTACTGCGCATCCTCATGATCCGGATTGACCGTAGCCTAATGTGCGTGTTAGCCTTTCAGCCCAGCCAGTAGATCATCACATCGCCTGCGTCGAAGTGAAGGTCCTCGACGGACAAGCACGCGTTGGGACTGACACGCGTCCTGAGGATCATCGAGCCCCGCGGGGTCCGTTCCCCGCCGCGATCCGCGCCGTTCGGCTGCGGATGGCGGTGGGCCCTGGCCACGCCATGCCCGATGCCGCGCCAAGGCCATGCCCAGAGGGTCGCGTAGCGTGGCGAGCTTCACGTTTGGATGGGGGTAGCAGGATGGCGGCACGCAGCGCGACGCCCAGCGGCTCAATAGGCGAGTGCGCCTCTGGCACCGAGGGCGGTGGCGTGCAGTGTGGCGAGCAGCGCGTTTGTGAGCAAAACGGATGGGACCAGCAGCGCGTCGCACGACGATCTGCAGCACAGCGGGGATCAGCAGCACGGCCGTGGCGCCCAGAAGGAGGGCTGAACATGTGGTGAGCGGCGCGAATGGCGGGCGCCCAGAAGGGCGGAACATGTGGTGAGCGGCGCGAGTGTAAGCAGTGCGACGGACGAGGGGTGACGTCCAGCAGAAAGACAAATGTTTCCTCCTTCCTCGTCCTCCTCGAGGAGCTAGCTGTCTGGGCCCAGAACCCGAGCGAACGCCCACTGTGCCTTTTGGTATCGCGGCGCATGATGCCCACGGCGTACGAAGGGGGCACGCGAGGGACAGGGCAGGTTCGTGACAGCAGTTGCGTACCGAATCGCACATTCGCCCCACACTACACTCGTCGATATGCAATGAAGCTTACCGCCCACACTGTCCAGTGGACGGATTTTTCTCGATGGAAGGACATATCGACACAGACGAAGAACACAGAGCTCGTGATATGTATTGGCACGGGCAAGTGGACAGGGAACGACGGTGCGACCGCCACGCAGTGTCAACCACCGAAGCAGGAGTGTGCTCAAATGGAGTGGCGAAAACCTGGCGACCATGTGTGGCAAGCGTATGTCTGGCACGTCGCAGAATGTCTCCATGCCGCCAGCCACCTTGGGCATCACACGTCGCCTGGGCATGGTGCGTTTTGCAACTAATTGAATATCATCGGCGATTTGTCCATCTACATTCCGACCAAAGGTATGGCCGCGCAGGCAAATTGCGGCAAATGGTGATCTCGGAAGAAAAGGCCGAATCCGGACACGCTTGTATTCTTTTGGTGGTCGGAGACTGGAGCCTTCTGGCTTTGATACACAAGCGGGCAAGACTGGCAACCTTTTCGTCACGCACGATAGTGAATAATTAGGAACGGTTGGAACAGCACTGGGACCGCGGGTATCAAACTTTGCCATATAACTATTGCAGGACACCTGCCTCAGCATGTACGACACCTATTGGAAGACGGGCCCCACCGACTTCCAGGGCCAGCGTAGCAGCAAGATCGACCACGTCACGGGGCCATCCAGCACGCGATAAATACTACAAAGACTCAATACATTGCTTGGGCTGGGGAGGAGATTGCAGAGACACGTGATAACCGAATTGCATGATCGTGTACCAGTCCCAGTCAAGTTTGATTTACGACCGCTGAATGCGCGCATTGGGAAGCACACCCTCCTAATTGTGGTGCGCTGATGGCAGCGTGCATCTCAGGTGCCGGGCGGATCGGGTTTCTCAAAGCATTGGAGCAAGAGGCGACGGGCATTCCCGAGCACGAATGACAAGATATTTGGGATCATGGAAACGGACAGACAGCGCAGAGCAAATTGTCTGAGGCCGATCGAGCAGCAACGCGTCGAGAAAAATCCCTGCGAAGAAAGAATGCATTGTCGACTACGAGGGGCAACGACGACGCAGAGTGGAACTACTCGAGCTAAGAGGACGACGGCCACGCGAACCACGTCGCGCAACTGGGCGGACAAATTAAGGCGACGCGCTCAAACAATTTGGCGAGACGGAGGCACACTTCAAGAGATTACCTCCCCGAAGCAGGGGGAGGTCGAGAAACTGCGCGAGGCAATGCTTCGGGCTTGGATGCGCGGACGACGCGAAGAGGCGCGCAGACTGAGTCAATCTGACCAGGCGATGCCGTGGACCAAAGAAACTGGTTGTTACGTTCGCCGAAGTAAGGAATGACAATGCAGGAATTGATGGATGGACCTGGTCAAGCACCCGAACATGGAGGCATGGATTGCAGAGAGCTGGACTGGGCTGCCTGGGCGGGCGACAAATCATTCGTTCCGCACCTGCGCGGTACATCGTTATTGAGCGGTTTGAAACGACAAGATCGAGCAGGACAAATCATTTACTTCAAGACAGCGCCCAACAGGAGAGCTGGGCCCGCGCGGGGCACATTGGCGTCGGCACTGCGCCTGGGTGCCGACAGGAAGCGGCGCGCGTATCAGCGTGACAAATAACTTGCGCCAGCGACGTTCTCCAGGCGATGCAATGAACTGTCGGTGCTCAATCGCGTGACTGGCTCGTTCCCGCTCGCGGCCATCAGCTTTCAGGCTTGCCCCGCGTCCGAGAATGCCTGCGACCGGGGGATTAAGGGACAAGGAGTGCTTCGCTGCTTCAATTTGTTTGGAACGTCGTTCTTCGCACGCCTTCAGAGGACTTTTGACGCCCAGGGGGCCGGGCGGGCCGGACTTCGCGCGCGGGGGGCTACGACGACGGCGGCGACAGGGTGCCATGCTCAGCATAGCAGCAGCGCGTTGGAGACGCCGCACATCATATATAAACCACGGCATGTCCAACTACGGCGGGGCGAGCGCTTTTGCCGGCGCATCGCGTGATCCACAGGCGCATCATCGCGCACGCAGCAGGGTCGAGAACACGCGCCCCATGATATATGCAGTCAGGCCGCGATCTGCATCAATGCGATAGACGGCCGCAGCAAGGCACGACCCTGGGCCGCTCGCTGGCAGCAGGCGGTTCTATGGACATTTTCTCCCCAGCAGAGAAAGAATGGAACGTTCAATCGAGTTGCTCAGATCATGCGTGCACGTTGCTCAGGGGGGAGCACCCAACTAGCATCGAGACGGGGGGCGTAGGAATTGGCTTGTCCGTAGACGACGCATCGCGAGCAACTGTTCACGCATGCGCACCTTGCGCCAAGCGCATCGCACAGCAGTGGAATCGCGCCTTTGGAACGCTGCACAAGCGCACCAACAAGAACGGGCACCGCCCGAACGACGACAAGACGAATCACATGATTGCACTTGCAGGCGCGGGCCCCTGCGAGGCGGCGCGGGAACTAGGACGCCGGGATAATGTAAAAGGAGAATTACTCCGGGAAGTACGGGTCCTGGGCCCAGACATCAGCTTCGACGGCGTACTGCGAGCGGGGCTCAAGAGCCGCGGTAGAGGAGCACGTGTAGCATGGCGTTTAATAGGGCAGGTATTGCACGTGCACCTCCCGTGCAGTTTGCACCGCGTGATGTTGTTATGCTTTGTGTGCAGAGCAGCGATCGCTGGCCTCGCTGCGTTTGCGTTGCCGAAGGAGGAATTCATCGACGAGCAGGACTCGGCTCTGGCTCGGCTCCTCAGGTGTCTCATGAAGGGCCGTGCGGCACAGGGGTATGAGGATGGGCGAACAAGGCCTCCTCCCAAAAGTGAAGTATTGGGATGTTGGAACATCAGCCGCGCTGCCGCGGAGCTGAGGGTCCAGCGGCCGAGCGAACCCGCGAACCGCCGCCAAGTGTCCCCAGCCATGTTCGGGGCAACAGAGGCCGACATACGGTTGGGCAAGCACAGGCTAAACGCAGTGGGCGCGCCGACAGGGCGCAGCACGCCGGAGGCAAGGCAGCTCTTGGAGAACATGCAGTGCGTCGCGAATTTCGAGAGCCCCGTCGCAGGGGCATGGCTGACGAGAAGGATGTGTCGCGGTCGTTCCAAGGCCCCGTCGCCAGGGAGAGTCTCTGCAAGGTCAAGGTGGGCCCCCCCTGGGGGCCCCTACTCAGCGCCAGCATCAACAATGCCTGGGAACGGTTACTACGATACATCGGGCTTCAGGAGGTATCGGAGGACGAGGCAATCAGGACGGGGAATCTGGAGATACAGAGCGCAAACAGCCGCGGCAGCAACGCACATGAGTACATCTGCGCGCGCTAAAAACGAAGACGGCACGATGCGCACAATCACGTCAACAACATGAAGGCGCCCGCGAGATGGGGGACATTTACTCGGGGCCGCTAGCGCGTGCCCGTGGCGCCGCACAGCTTCCGCAAGCCGCGCATCACGCCTGCGTCGTGTTCGCGCGCTGTCTCAGCGCAACCCGCGTTCTTGCCCTTCGCGAATCGTGTATTTTGCCTTCGGGCCCGAAGTACATACAGTGTGCCATTTCGGCGTCCGCTGCCACTGGGGTGCCGAAGTGCAACGTCATCTGGGCCGCGCGCGGCAGCGCGTGCCTGGCCCTGCCAGCACTGACCAACAGACAGAGGAGTTCGATGTGGAGGGCGCCCAGTGCAGCAGAGGGCGGAAGACCAAGGGCGGGCGCGATGGAGGTCGGCGCAGATGCAGCATAGCGACCACGCAAATGCGCAGGTGGCAGGGCGAAGGAAGGCAGTGGCGCATCAGCTGGGTCCGCCAACTTAGGGAACAAGGGCGACGCGGCGGTGACCATCGAACAGATGCGCCTCAACAGCGCGCAGATCATACGGCTACTATAGGGCAGCTCGCGGGGCTTCTACCTGACCGAGGGCGATCGCGCGCCGTCAGAAGCAGGCGCGCTGGAGAGGGAAGAGCACGCAGACAAAGCGAAACAACGGCGCGGCGAACCTGGGGTCACCCGCGCGCACGTCAGAGCAACGTTCTTCGACGAGCTGGCAAACCTGATTACCGCGCCGCAGCCGTATCTAGAGACCCCAAAGCACTGCGCCGTGGTGACCAGAGTCATAGACCATGATTTGTTCGGGGACATCCCGCCCTGCGCCGAGGTGGAGAAATCGCACGACGAACCAGGGGAAGACCCGTATGGAAGGCGCGCGTCTTCTTCAACGCGTTGGCGATGAGTCCATGGACCAGCGAGCGCGAGGACAATATCAACCAGAAGCGCCAGGGGGAGGGCAGAGACCGCATCGAGCTGCAGCAGATTCAGGTCTGCCATCCCCGCACGGCGACGCACGTGGCCATCGCGAACAACGGGGGCCAGGCGATCGGGGGCGCCGCTTCCGACGGCCCTCGAGCGCAGGTCGCAGAACTATCTGCGCGACTGCATCGCCAAGGTGTGAGCCAGGCAGCAGGCAAGTCATCAACAAGCAAGCGGCACGCAGCCAACGAGGCATGGAACAAACAAGTTTAACTACCTCAGCTCCGCAAACTCGCCGCATCAGGTAGCGTCCGAGCGGCAGAGCTGCTCCGGAGACTTTGGAAGCGATAGGCGTCGGGGTCGGAGGGTGGAGTAGTGGAGGGTGTGAGCGCTGCAGCGTCGCAGCCTTGCCAAGTCTTAGCAGCTGTTTTTGATTGTGCAGGCCAGGGTTTTTGGTCCCCCATGCTCGAGCGGGCCCCTATCTAGAGAGTAGGGTTAAACCAGAGTAGCATAGTGCCCAGCAGACTGGGCTGTGAAGGGGGCTTGGGGGGAAGCGAGGTGAGTGGTGTCAGCGCATGTTTCCTCAATGTGAACGCAGTTGCGCGCAGGGGCGATAGGCCCCCGCCGAAACAAGTATCGCACCCATCCCGAGTGCGGTGGGGATGGGCCCAAGTGCCACAAACCACCGCCTTGGACTGAGAGTTGTTTTGCTTGGCGAGGGAGACCGGCCCTATGCCGACGTGGGCCCAAAGCCACTTCAGCCAACAGGATCCCGCAGGCTCCCTCAACTGTCAGCCTTGAAACAAACCAGCAGCCAAAGCGTTCGTCAGGTAGGCGGGCCACGAGCGATCACTCACCGAGATCACGCTGCCGGGGCATCCTCCTCCTTCTCCTCCTCCTCCTCCTCCTCCTGCTCCTCCTCTTCCCCCTCCTAACGGGGAGCAGCACGATTCTGTCTAGGACTGCGCCCAGCGTCGGCATCAGGAGCTGCGAGACTGTACCAGTTCGGCGGACGGGCTTTGTTGACACCCCTTCCGCCCCCTTTCTTCGAGCCCTGCTCGCTTCCTCCTCGGGTCGCGCCTGCTGGGCGGCTTCTGATGAGAGTGGCTGCTCTGCTCTCTTCGGGTTGACCCAAAAGGGGGTCCAGCGACAAGGGCGTGGTGCAATATATTTGGTGCACTCGATTTGTGGGGTTGCAGTACATCTGGGGCGTGCAATACATTCCGGGGCGCAAATGTACAATGCAATCCATTGCAATACCATTCCCCGTTTGCAATACAATTGCCCCAAATGTATTGCACCCCCCCTTGCAGCTGGACCCCCTTTTGGGCCACCCAAATCTCCAGGAGCGGGAGCCTCGCGGATAATCCGTGCCAGGGAGCCTCACGGAACCCAGGAGGCCGGACGACGGGAGGAGGAGCGCCCGCGGCGCGGGGCCCCCGTCGCCGCTGCGGGGCCGCCCCTCCCCGGTCCACGGGGGCTGCCCCGTTCGGGCCCCGCCTGCTCGCGTCGGCGAGCTGCCCGCGCCGCACATGGCACATGGCAAGTGGCCGGGCCGCTTCCCTGCGTCTCTGGCGTTGCACTTCCTTTCGAATGCACGGGGTCAACCAGCTCTGAGGTTTACCGCATGCTTCGCTGAGCTGTTCGTGTGGAAGTGCCCGCTTTCGTCCCCTCAGCTTTCCTCCTCCTTCTCCCCAAATTGCGCTGACAACAAAGAAACACCATAGTCGGATTGGGCCACCACCTACCAAACCACCCCAGCCCAACCCGAAGGCCTCGATTTGCCCTCCATTTCCATTGGGGGCGGGTCGGGGGCATTCGGGCGAAATTCGGGTCTTCGGGTTGGATTGGGGTGGCTTGGTAGGTAGTCAGATTGGGTCACCGCCCACCCATACAGTGGGGGCGCGCATCAGGAAGCCATGTGCTTTTCGTCAGGCTAGCCTGGGTTTCTTCGCTCCGCGCGCTGCGTGGTGACTCCCCGCACCCGCTGAGGAAGCTGCTGCTTTCAGGGTGCTCCAGGTTTCCCCCTCTGAGGTGCGCCTCGCGCGCGGGTTTTCCATGGTTGGGCTCCTTGCGCGAGTTTCTTGCGGCCGCGCCCGCTCTGCACGAGCAACTTCATACCCCTCCAGACCCGTCACGAGAGGCCGGCCTTTTGCCCAGGCCCCCCCAGAACCAGCTAAGACAGCGCAACATTGGGAAACACAGAGTTGGCCCTCCCGCCCCGGTGGGGGCCTGCAGCGGCGGCCGCGCAGGCCGACGCCCTGCGCAAGGAGGCGGCCGAGAGCGGCACCCTGTCTGAGGAGGGGGGCGGCCCAGGGAGGGAGGGAGGGGGGGGGCTTGAGGGGTGCAGGGACGGAGGGGGGAGAGGTCGACGAAGAGAAAACGCCATAAACAGACTTTTGGCGCTCCGCGCGAGTTTCTTGGATCCGCGCTTGGGCCCTTCCCCTGCGGCGCCTCTGGCGCCGCCCCTGGCGCGCTCCGCGCGCCAGGGAGGAGAATCCGGCGCCTATCCAAGAAACCCGTGCGGAACGCCAAAAGTTTATGTTTGTGTTCCTTCTTCTTCTAAGAGAGGATGACGAGGTGGAGGATGACACGCCACTGAGGGGGAAGCGAGAGAGAGAGAGAGAGAGAGAGGTTCGTCCAAACACGGAGGGGACCTTTTTGTCACCGCGGGTGGCTGGGACTAGACCGCCCGCGGGTCCGCGACAGGACGGGGTGGAAGGGAAGAAAGCGGAGGAACTGACGCTGTGGGCGAATCTTCGCCTCCACAGCATGCCAACGAAAAAGACAGTGGTGGAGGAGGAGGCCAAGATTACCCAGGCGGTCTCCCGCGTACAGCCAAGTGGTGGTCGCACCGTGCCTGGATTCTTATCCGGACACAGATCGCATAGCACGCCTCTCTTGTTCCGGCGCTGCGTCCAGTGAATTTGGTCACATTTGTCAGTTTTCTTTCGACGTCCGTGTAGTCGCCTCGGCAGTGGTGATGGTAATGCTCCTCCCTGGCTAGGGCTTCTCGGTGTTGTTCTTACGGCCCAGCAGAATCAGGTCGAAGTTGGCGAGCCATCCGCGGGCTTTTCCATGCAGTTCCCGAACAGCTCAACCTCCACGCGCTGGCCGTCCCCCTCGATCACTGCCTTGTCGCACCCTGGGAACCGCATGCCGTACTCGACCAGGCGCCGAGACTTCAATGGGAGTTTTGACCCTTGGGGCTCAGTCCGATACACCAGGATCTTTCCGGAGGTGTGTTCTGATTCTTCATGCTCGCCCCTAGGTACTCGAATTCCTGATGGAGGGCGCACCCTGTCATATGTTTGATGATGTCTCGGACGCCTTCGCATGGGGCTTGCAGGTCCAGCTTGCAGACTTCAGCGCATGGGTTATTCAGATGCAGCACTTTCGGCTGGAACACGTAAACGACCAAGTAGGCCAAATCCGCCTGATGATTGAGTGCCGAGGGATCCCACTTCCGACCGAAGCTATGGTACACGATGCCCAGTCCCGAGGTTATCGTCAGCCTGGCTCTGCTGCACTCCTCGGTCAGGACCCGCAGCCCATTAAGAAGATCTTTGCAAAGTCCACCTGGTAGGGTCCGTTACCTTTCGCTCCCACCCCCCAGGCCAGTTCTTCCTCAGATGTCGTGCCGAGTCTCGTCCTGTCCAGCGCGCTCCAGTCTGGACCGGGGCCTGTCCCTGGAGCCCACGCCGCGATCCGCCCAGCGGTCTCGCTGACCCCCGGATCTGCGCCACTGCCGCGAGGCACTCGGATGCGGTGTCCGCTCGACCGTGCAGGTCAGGATCGTTCAGCATCGCTCGGATGCGTGCATTTTTTCGGCGAGGCCCATCGAGGAGCATCCTGGATGATCTGGCAAAGAAAACACGCACGGAGCCGAGAACTGCACGGGTGAATGGACGTCCGAGCGATGGCGAGTTCCTGGTCGAGAACTTGTGGGCCCACCGTCCCGGAACTCCCGGCTCTGATCGTCCAGCGCTGAAGGTCCAGAGCCCTGGCGTCCGGTGGCGTCGTGCCGTCGTCCCTCAGCACCACGAGTCGAGTGACAGTCCGTACGGTAGGTTTGCGTCGTGTCGACCAGCGGCGACCCCAGCGCGGGCGTTCAAGGTTGAACGCCGCCGGCGACCCAGAATCGATCGATGTTGAACGATCGGACGTTGCGGCAGCGGCCGATCGTTCAAGGTTGAACGATTCCTGCGGTGTCAAAAACCAACGCTGGGGTCGGCACGACACGAACCTGCCGTATCCGACCTTCGCCGGGACAGAGTTTCTTGTCGCCGACGGGGGCGGCCGACCGGGGCGTGCCCGACCGGGGGGGGTGGCCGACTGGCCGGCCGTGGCGTGGCTGACCAGGGGATCACCGGGGTGGGCGGGTGGCACAACTTGGTTTGCCATCGTTTTTTGACGACCGCGACTCGGATTTTGACGAGGAGGAGTTTCGTGGGATGTCTGCAGCGGGAGGCCTCGTCAAAGTGCAGGCTCGGCCTCGTCATTTTTTTGACGACCTCGTCGGGGATTTCCGAGTCCCCCGTACCCGGGTCTTACGTCTCCCCGACTTAGGGAGGGTCGGGGGGGGCGCATGGGAAATAAGATGTTACTGAGCGGCCCGTTGGTTGTTACTGCGGCCCGGTGGGTGTTAGTATGGCCAGGGTTCCTCCGGAGTGTATTAATCAACAAGTACGGTGAAGGGGGGGGGCTCCAAAGAGGCTCACCCCCCCTTACCGAAGAGCCTCTCGGAAGAGCCTCGCCTCTTGAGAAGAGCCAGCCTTTTGGAGCCGCCGAAGAGCTTTTTGCAGCCGCCGAAGAGCTTCTTGCAGCCGCCGAAGTGCCTCCTTGGCTCGCCGAAGAACCTCTTGGGCGTTCCGAAGAGCCTCTTGGGCTCTCCGAGGAGCTTGGGCTCTCCGACGAGCCTCTTGGGGCCTCCGAAGAGCCTCTTGGGCTCTCCGAAGAGCCTCTTGGGCTCTTCGAAGAGCCTCAGCCGCCGAAGAGCCTCTTCGAGCTGCCGAAGAGCCTTTTCGAGCGGCCGAAAAGCCTCTTAGAGCGGCCGAAGAGCGTCTTCGAGCCGCCGAAGAGCCTCTTCGTGCGGCCTCCGAAGAGCATCGGGGGGCCTTCGAAAGGTACTCATCGTAGGATTAGTATTAGGACTACTACTAGTACGAGTACTAGTACTCTGTACGACTACTGCAACTACTACTACTACGACTACTACTACTACTACTACTACTACTACTACTACTACTACTACGACTACTACTACTACTACTATTAGTATTACGACTACTACTACTACTACTACTACTACTACTACTACTACTACTACTACTACTACTACTACGACTACTACTACTACTACTATTTCTACTACTTCTTCTACTACTACTACTACTACCACTACCGCTGCCACTACCACTACCACTACCACTACCACTGACACTTACTACTACTACTACTACTACTACTACTACTACTACTACTACTACTGCTGCTACTACTACTACTAGGACTGCTACTACTACTACTACTACTACTACTACTACTACGACTGCTACTATCACTATTTCTATTACTACTACTACCACCACTAATACTACTACTACTACTACTGCTACTACTACTACTACTACTACGTCTACTACGACTACTACGACTACTACGACTACCACTACTTTTCTTATTATTACTACTACCACTACTACTACGACTACGACTACTACTACTACTACTACTACCACTACCACTACCACTACTACTACTACTACTACTACTACGACGGCGACGACTCCTACGACTACTACTACTACTACTACTACTACTACTACCGCCACTACTACTACTACTACTATTACTATTGCTACTACAATTGCAACTACTGAAACGACTACTATTACAACAGCCACTACTAGTACTACTATATTACGACTAGTATTATTATTGTTACTACTACTACTACTACTACTACTACTACTACTACTACTACTACTACTACTACTACTACTACGACTACTATCATTTCTTGGCTTCATCTGGGGGGCTGCGTCCGCCCCTGTCTATTGGGCCCTCATGCCTGGGTAATTGCAGGGGCGACTTTTGGGTGGTATTACCAAAAGGTCCCAATCGCTTTTTGGGACGCGCAGCTCAAATCGCAACTTTGGTACGGCGTCGACGTGCACACGCATCTGTATTTTCTGCAATTCATTTTAACATATGCGAACTGGCTAGGACACTTGTAGGCGAAAAGAGTCATGCCGTCGCACAGTAAATTCTCGCTTCCATTGTTTTTTCTGCTTTGGAGGGAGCCGAATATAGATTTTGTTGTTTCAACATCCGTAGACGGTGCTTGGCAAGCTGAACGCGTTGTTGTTAGCACAGGGCTGGCAATAAACATCCGTCGGATGACCCATCCCTGGTGGCAGACAGCCAGAGGTTCGGTTTGCTGTGTCCGGTTCGAGCGCGTCTTCAATGTACATAGCGCAAGCGGTTGTTTGTCAAGATGATTTCGATGGCGTTGTGTGGCTGGCCTTGTTTTCGTTTGTTTTGCTCCCGAGTCTGATCGCGTTGTGCGGTGCCCTCAGTTGCTTTGGTTCATGGCCCTCAACAACAGAGAAAGCGGCACCCGTCAAGTCACGGGCGAAAATCCGTATCCTCTTCGGGGCTTTGGAGGCACGTTTGGGGCCATCTTGAATGACATCGATCAGCCAGAGGGAGGTGTTTTAATTAGCCTGCCCCCACAACCCCTCGAGCCCCGCAAGCCATCCAGGCCCTCTTGGGGCGCCCTTGGGACGCTCCCGGGCGCTTGGGGGGACCGTCTTGGAGATATCCGGGGTCCTTCTGGGGACACCAGGGGCTCTCTTGGTCCATCTCGGAGCCATCGTGAAGCCTCGGAAGGCTGTTGCCAGCGAAAGGGGCGGAACATGCATAGGTTTTTGATGTCCTTACTTTGTCTGGGAACTTGGCCGCTCGCGCGTTGGATCCTGAATTTTGGAAATGAGGGCGCGGCCATGGTGGATTGGAAACTAGATTAGACCTTTAGCGGTCGCCACGCGGCTTTCGGGCGTGACACGCGTCGCCCGCGCGCGCATCAGCGCGCCTGCATGGCAGGCTCGCGCACAGTGGAAGCGCAGAAGTCGCCACCTTTGCGCGGGAACTCAAATCTTACATTCTCGCGCCCAAGGTCTTTGAGAATTTCGCATGACGTTTTTGCGCCCCCTTTGTATGCACCGAGCGCGCAGGACGTGGGCGGTGCGCGCGCGGCGGTGTCTTCGCTGGGTGGGAACGCATAAGTCGCCACGCT